CTGTCTTGGCCAATTCTAACAAGAAAACTCAATGTTTGACTGCCAAGAGTGTGCGATAGACTTACCTCCACGTGGTGCACCCTGGGCAACGTATACTCCTACGGCAGAAAAATCTATTACCTGGCAGTTGACTTCTGACTTCAAACTACAACGATCAGACTGTATGTCATAGTTAACCACTTTCACAGTACCCATCTTACCTTTTTTCTACCTTTGTGTCTGTCTCTTTTACATCTTTAAAACACTCTTCTGTTCCCCCCCCTCCCCTATCGACTTTTTTCACTTTGATATTTCTTCTCCTCTGTGAGGCCTGAAGTCATCTAAAAGGCTAATGGAACTGTCAAAATGCCTGCCATTTGATATAAATAAATAAATAAATGTTGGACTGCCAAGTGTATCTTCCATTTTTCGGAAAAGTGAGCTTGTCTAGACAGAAATGGTTACCCTCAACAAGGACTTCCTGTGCCCAAAAGACAATAGTAGTTTTCTGCCCTCACCCTCAATATATGACTTCGTATTCATTACTGTCTTAATTATTTTGATCAAAGACTAATCTCCACTTCCCTTCTTATCCTGTTGTTGTAGAAAAGATTAATAGATAATAAAAGGTTATGTCTTTGGAATAGATGGTGCTGTTAGGGAAAATATTTTACAGTTATTTCAAAGCCTATAAAATACAAACCTGAATAAAACCAGACACCCCAATTCTGTAGTTCACTTCATCATGGGTTCCTTAAAAATTTGGATTTTTTTAATGAAACTTTAACACTCGGTTATTTTCCTTTTATGTTAAAAATGAATAAATATTTCAAGAAATGTATTATTTTCGTGATTTGAAAGAGAATTTTTATTGAAATTATATTTCAAGAGGCCGGATTGATTGATGCTTCTGTTCGAGGAAAGAAATGAACAAAGTGGACACGGAGGTTCCCGTCAAAATTCCAGGATTTATGGAACCCGTTGAAGCTTTCAACTCAGTGAGAGTGTAGCTGTCAATGCCTCAGCTCTGCTTCGCATGTCGTCAAGATAAAGCAGGAGACTTCCAAACAATAATTTGCATTTTGTTTTACCAATTTAATAGTTTAGTTATTTTCATATACGATGGGGTGGGCGATAGACTTACCTCCACGTGGTGCACCCTGGACAACGTACCTTCGTACTGCAAAAAAGTCTATCACTCGGCATTTGATTTGACTTCTATTTATTATGATTAGCTTGAAACAAGGCTATAAGAGAAATCGCCCTCTTCAGGGCGAATCACAACGTCTTCAGATCCTCCAGTGGAATGCTGGAGGGATGTCACAGGACAAAAAGATCCAAGTCCATTTGGCCGATGTCTTTCCACACAATGAAGGCCTTAATCAGAAGAGAATTCAAGACCCCAAGGTGCAACGAACTTAAAGCTCAAAAATTGGAGAAACATTGAACAGTGGCACTTTCCGATATAGCCGACTGGTCAAGAATCGAAGCTTGGCAAAACATCTTCACAGATTGGGAGTATACACTAAACCCACATGCCCCCTATGTAACCTACACGAGGAAATGGAGAAGACCCACCTGATTCGGTTTCCAGCTCTAAAGACAACGACGGAAAGCCAGAGGTACTGGGAAGCAAGAAGACGGCTAATGAACTGCTATTAATTAACTGCTATATAAGTTCCCCCCCCCCCACCCTAGGGGAAAGCTGAAGTCAAAGTTTAAGGGCTAATGATACATATCATAAAGCCTGCCATTTGAAATAATAATAATAATTTTCATATACGATCAAGTTGTTTTTCTTACTATGCTTTTCATTTCAATAATAGCGAAATCCCTAAATACATAATTTAGTTGGGATGTCTTGAGTGAATGATCAAGAGTCCTGGCTTGTCAAAAATGTCTTTCTTCGTCCATTGAATATATGAAGACAAAATTTACTTTGGTCAATCAATTCCAGATAGAAAAGTTGTATATTCACCTAGATTCTAATTGAAAACGCGAAGAAATGAACTAGGTTATAATGAGTAGACGAAATATGATTTCAGGTTAAGCAATTGACATTTTTTTTATTTTAACTATTCGCAGTTATATTCCCTTTAAAATTCTGGCTTTTTGTCTGGCTAACGACAATACGAATAACTACAAGCTATCATTGTGCTAGAGAGATAGTACCTGAATGACAAGGGTGTCTACATGTTTCGGAGAGCCCGAGGTTGAAATCGATCCAACCTCAATGTGGGGTGTGCGATAGACTTACCTCCTCGTGGTGCACCCTGGGCAACGTATACTCATACACCAAAGTCTATTAACCGGCAGTTGACTTCTCACTTCATACTATTATCACCCCACTGTATGTCATATTCGACTACTTCCACAGTATTCACCTCGCCTTTCATCTAACTTTGTGTCTGTTTCTTTTACATCTTTAAAACACTCTTCTGTTCCCCCCCCCCTCTCGACTTTTTTCGGTTTGCTGTTCCTCCCCCTCTATGAAGCCTGAAGTCAGCTAAAGGGCTAATGATAGCTAGCATAAAGCCTACCACTTGATATAAATGTTTCGGAGAGGTTGAAATCTATTCAAACACTCCCAATGACAGGAAAATCTAATTAATGCAAATAAATATAGGAAGAAAGAGGGCTTATTGAAAGGTTGATCATATCTTTCCTGACAGATCCCGAATAATTCTCAAGATATAAATCTGCAGATATTTGGCAGTTGGCAATTATGCAATTTTGATCAATATTAACTTGACCGCAGTTTATTTGATCAGCCAATAACATATAGATTGTCTTATGACATTAAATTAAATGATTAAGAATATACAACATTCTGTTGAATCGCTTTCTTTGTTTGATACTATTTTGATTTATTGAGTTTCATTCGCTGACTATTTTTTGCCTGAAAATACAATAAAATTTTTATCTATCTTACCCTAAACAGGGCACTACTGCAGAAACAATTTTTCAATGTTGATGTTCTTCAATAGCAAAGTCGAATTAGCTCTACCAATGTAAAAATGACTTTGTTATTGGCATTGGAATGCATTTATTATTGTAATCAGGCTAATTAATTGGACTTGCCTATATGCCCTAAAATGAAATCAGTTGAGAACACGGGTCTTAAGCTATGAGAAAATATGACATTCCACCCCTCCCTCCCTTCACTGATTTCTCCAATTTTCGAAATCTCCCCTTATTTATTGTTACAATTATTCAATAAACCTAGTAGAAATAAAAAAATAAAGAAATAAATAAAAAATAATGATTAGAAGTGCCTTTATCGAAGGCGTAATAGCGTAAAAATAGATTTTGAGGGCATAAATGCTATTGCAGTGTTTCAAAATTCCGTACCATAATAAAGCAACTTCTATTGTAGATTAATGACTAAAGTAAATTATTCAAAGTGCCAATAATTAGAACCCAATAAAATTGAAATGGCGGGCGGAAGTAGTTGGAGATAAAAATTGCTTGAAGTAAAACATTCAATATTTGACGTAAAGAATACTTAACAAGGTTTTTTAAGTGCGTGAAGAGTACGTTCACAACATCTTGGCAAGATATAGGATTATTTTAAAATTGTTAACTAATTCAAATGCCAAAATTAAATTAATTTTTAGAATAACTGTGCTATGTAACTGCTTGGATGCTGAAAAAGGGCCAACATTTCTGCAGGTCAGTCGGCAGCCTTTCCGTTGCACTTGCTTGCCATTTATCGCTCCGTTTGTCCTTAGATCTCCCAATAGCAACTCCACAAAGATTCCTTCTATTCCCACATAATGCCTTTGTTTGGTTAGTAAAGTATTTTAATCTAATTGTTATTCTACCTTAATTTTCTCGGAGACAACTCGAGTCTAGTGCTATTTTGGCAGAGGTCATGTAATAGTAGAGGAACTAGCTCACTCAGTAGTACTGCAACATTGAAGGTTCTAGAACTCTCAAATAAAACCAAAGTGTGTCCAAAAACAACATATGTAAATTTCAAATGTAAAGCGACCTCATTCCCCAACTGAGATGCTCATGAAATGCGGGGTGAATTTATAGTTTAGAATATGGTTGGAGACAGTCAGTCTTAATCGTTCAACGCTCGAATTATTTTGTTGAAACTGCATTCACGCATGTCTCAAAGCAGACTGATGCCACAGACGTGTTGAGTTTTGGTGGTGTATCAGACGAAAGCTATAGACACGTCTTGAACATGTTTCAAATGGCAAAAGCACGCCTTCTCTGTTACGAGTCTAATATCAATAAAAAGCCCATTTTGAAAGAGAAACGTACGGTCATAAGGGTGTTAAAGATTTAAGTAATCGAGCACAGCTTAAATGACATCAAGTGGATATGATTAGTGGCGTCTAATGAAGATTCCAATATATTGTTCGAATAAAGGTACGCGAATTGTTAATAATTCAATTAGGTGGAAAATTTTAGGAAATTTATAAACTGGCCACTTGATTTTAGAGGATTTAAGGAAGTTTTCCAAATAAAAGTGCTCAGAACTTAATTTCACAAAAATAACTCGCCATAAAACTGGCTAGAAAGCTTTGCAAAACAACAGTTCGAGTTTTAAATAAAGCACCTATATTGTATGACCAAAACCTGAAGAACTTGATTTCCAAAGCGAAGGTTTGCTTATTACCAACCGTTCAATTTTACTTCAATGAAACTGGATAGTACTCTAGCAAAATATGACATCTTGAGATTAATTTGTACACCCTCTCTCATTGACATGTGAGTTGACTTGTCACGTCATTTAGCAAGTTGTTAGCTTGTATTTCACTTTGTAAGTCAAAGACAATTTCTTATTTCTTGTTTTCTTTTTGAAATCTGAAGTGACTTGAAGTTTTTTTTGAGATGAGTTGCACAATATTTACTAAAAGAGTAGCCCACTCTTCAAAATTTGAATTTCTTTAAACGTTCCTCTATTGCAGTAACTGTATGTTTGCGAAAGAACATTTTTTGTATGTGCATTTTTTAGCCCCCTTTTCAAACAGTTGGGAAGACCAAATCTCTCCACATGGTAAACAGCAATGTACCATTTTAGAGGGACACAAGAGGAACGACTGTGCCTGTCACGTAATGATCCACAGATCTCTGTATTCAGAGCGAAAATCTCATTGGTAGAAAAGCCTATTTGATTTTACAACACAGTATTTATTACCCACTGATATAAAATTACCCCCAATGCCTTGAATGCAACAGTGTACCCTCGTTTTAAAAGTGCAAAGATTTAATTGGCAAAATTATAATTATTACTTACCGAGTTGAACTCCAGCCAGTTTCCTTCCCTGCAATCTCTATTAACAAGTATATGGTTAGCGATAAAAATACTTGCTTAGAGAAAATATCTTAACGAGTAGAACTTCTCACCTATTTTCGGAAGCGTGGATGCCACAGAACCTTCGTATATTGAAGACAGTTCTCTCATTTCAACTTTTGGGGAAAGTGAGGCTCTGTTGTAGGACCCTGAAGGAGTTCCTTTAAGCATTTCATAACCCTCAATTGAATTATTTAATATAGTAACACTTCGGGCCTCCCTTCTGCCTTTAATCGTGGACTCTGACATGGGTGCTTGAGGAATGAGTTGAAAGTCACCTTTGCGATAATTCGTAGTTGTAGCAGGAAGTGAAGTAGCGCAAACAGCAGGCGATTCATTGCATCCATCTCTCCATGTGCTCCCATCCTGTGGACTCGAGGAGCTAGCTCCCGATGGCGTTCGCTTTCTTGTGCGCATTCGAAAGCATCGACACACAAAGATGGTTGTCAGCGCAGAGAGCAAAAGAATTATCAGAATTCCACAAGCAAGAAGAAATTTCACTGGCGTATTAAGGTCCTGTTCCGGCGCTGGAGTGATTTCTCTAATTATGGCCTTTGCTGTTGAGATTTGGAGGGAAAAAAAAACAAACATCCGTTAACTACTATCTCACTACCAAGACCCAAGGCATATGAAGAATATATAACTGTATTTACTTTCTTCATGCGGAATTAAATTAAGCGCACACTTTGTATTGTTTGTTGTTGCTTTTGACCAACCGTAGACCGTATTGCTTGTAACTGGTTCACCCGAAGAGCAGCTCATGTGGGCCCGTACAGCTGTGAGGGTGTTTGAGGGGAGATTGCGAATTTCAAATTTCCCTCTACGAATGGATCTTCGAGAAATTTTATCTGAAATGAAATGGAGCTTGTTAACTAAACCAACACTTGTGTGTCCTGAACCTTTTGGTAAACTTTTCTAATCAAACCCACTTAGGAATCATCTGAGATGAGAAATCAAGTGGAATAATTCCAATTTTGGTAAAAAAACTCGTCAACTTTTATCACACCGAGGCCCAAATCCTTCGTCATCCCCTACTTTCGAGATGAAATAATTTTCAGGAGGAAGTATAATTTTTTTCTTTATGGGGACAAAATGTTACTTAAACTTTTAGCAAATAACAACGAAACTCTAAAGCTTGTTTCGTGGCAACTTTAAGGCCCATTCATTAAATGTGACCTCATTTACTTACACAGTATTTATTCAAACAAAAATACAACTTTTCGTAAGAAAGAATGCCTTTGGTTAAATTATTATAAACATTATGAAGTGAGGAATAATAACAATAAAAGACTGAAAAAAGTGTTTTTTCGATTTTAAAATATGTCAGCTATAAAAAAATTACTGTAATTGACATGGGAGGCTCTGAGTGAATATAATTTTCAATGAAGAATTAAATATCTCAATGGATTCACTAGATTAGTAAAACGAATACCTTCTGGAATATTCAAATAGCGCTACAAAAAGACAATAGCAATTTATGAATATTTGTCCAATAATCATTTGAAATGCAAAAGTGCTAGCTTGATTTTCCGTTTTTTCTCATTAAATCCTCCTGAGAAACTAGTAAGATTATAGTCAGATGATATGCCTATCTAATTGTCTAAAGGGCTCAAGAATTCAAAAAGCACCCTTACTTTTCTACCATCAATGAATTATGTTTTAATTATTGAAATCACTCAATTATTTGCTTATTATGGTCACATGATACAAAACTTTTTGCTTAGGTAATATTATGTTCGAATGGTTCAAGGTTTGTACTTTGAACCATAGTTTCCAACTTTATGACCTTGACGTTTAGAAACACTGAAAAAGTTCATAGAATTGAGCAGCCGACCATATAGTAACAAGTCACACACACACACACACATATATATATATATATATATTTATACCAAATGGCAGGCCTTATGATAGTTAACATTAGCAATTTGGTTGACTTCAGGCTTCACAGAGGGAAGAAACATCAGAGTGAGAGAAATTCGAGAGGGTGAGCAGAAGAGAAATTCAAAAATGCAAAAGAGATAGACAGACACAAAGGTAGGAAAAAAAGAGACGTGTACTGTGGAAGTGGTAGAATATGATATACAGTGGGGCCATTGTAGCTTGAGGTCAGAAGTTAGAATGTAGACCTTTTTGCTGTATGAGTATATATATAACGATTGTATTATTGTTTTGATTGCTTACAGTTAACGCTTTGACTTCCGACTTCAGAATCCGTTAAAACGTAATCACAACGTCAGAATTTAACTAAAGTTCACAATCATATCAATTGACTTGATTATTCGTTTCATTTACTCATTACGACACACAAAATTCTTATTCACGCTAACTTTTGAGCACAAATTTTGATTATCTCGCTCTAGTTAAAATTGCATCTTTTTTCAGTATTTTAACAGTAAGAAGTAAAATTCTTTTTTCGTATTGTTTTAAATTTCTATTTTTCCGACAATCAAATGGTGTATAAAGGTTTATCTGTTTACAAATCTCACAATAAATGCTTGAAAAGCTCATGAACAATCTACTGACTACAAATTTCCAAATTTTGCCTTATCTGCTATAATTTTCACACTTTCCATGCATTAAATGTGAAAAAAGATTTTTCCGCGGTCACATTAGTTTCGCGACAGTAAGAACGTGCCACTTTGAAATGATAGAAAATTTATTAAATTGATTTGACAGGTAGATCTCAACTTTTATTCCACCTTCAAGTTTTATGGTTAGGCTTATAAAAAGATTCGTTGAAATGATATATTTGCCAATTTTATAATCCAGAAGAGGAGTGTGCGACAGACTTACCTCCACGTGGGGCAGCCTGGGCAACGTATACTCATACAGCAAAAAAGTCTCTCAACCGGCAGTTGACTTCAGATTTCAAACTACCATGACCTCATTGTATGTCTTATTCGATCACTTGCACCATACTTATCCTATTTTTCTCTGCTTTTGTGACTGTCTGTCTCTTTTACATCTGTGAATCACTCTTCTGTCCCCCCTCTCCACTTTTTCTCACTCTGATATTCCTCCTTCCCTCTATGAAGCCCGAAGTCAGCTAACGCGCAAATGATAAGTATCATAAAGCCCGCCATTTGAAATAAATATATA